TAGGAAGAACATACACATCAGCAAATGACTCATTTCCAGACAATAAGGAAGATTAATGTTAGATGTCCAAGGACAGAGAAGATTCTCTCTTTTTCCATCTGCCAGGCCTAGGAGAAGGGATACTTTCCTCTACTTTTATTCCCCCAAAGATGTCCCCCTTCCTCCAAACCTGGGGCTCCTGGATCCGGATCATCTTCCTGTCTGGGCTCCCTCGCAGAAGTTGGCACAATGGGTTTGTCTCCAGTGACCTCAGCAGAGTGTCCTCCTGGTCTCTGCTGCTCTGTGGCCTTCTCTGCTGCTTGCTCATGGGTGCGGTTGTGAGACCTCAAGAAGGCGACCATGTTGGGATCTAGAGGAGAGGATGGAAGGGAGAGCGGGTGGTGGCAGATCCTCGCCGGCTCCTGTAGACCTGAAACCTGCTGAATACTGCCTATCTACTGGTGCCACGGCCAGGACAAGCCCCTTCCCACCCCTGGCTGAGCCCCCTGGGCACTCCTGGGGCCTCAATGACCTACACCTGTCACTAGGGCCGGCCCACCCACCCTTCTCTCCATCCTTCACAGTCCCCTGGCCCACCCAGGTTCCTGCCCATCCCTGTGCTTGGCTTCAGGTTAGAGGCCCAAAGGAAGTGGCTGTGGAATAAATGAATGAATGCTGACTAGGGCCAAAGAGAAGGCATTTAGGGGAACAATTTCTTTCACTTTCAGCTAATTTATTACACACAAATATTTACTAGAACCTAATATACGTATGCTCTATGAAGATGCTAGGTATAGAGTTTGGGACAAGACTGACTCGGCTCGGTGCTGCTGTGGTGGTGAACGGAAACCAGGAAGGAGGTATGGCACGGCAGAGCGGCACAGACAGAACATACAGAATGCCACAGCTGTACTAGAGAGCACACAGCTATAATACGGCACACGTTACCCTAGAATAGTACAGCATACACGATAGAGTGGTTGAAAGCAGGGCCTGGCAGACCTGAGACACCTGGGTTTACATCTCAACCGTGTTCCTTACCAGCCATATGACCCGGGGGAGAGTTTCAGGTTGTGAGACTCAGGTTTTTTTCCTAAGTAAATGAAGCTAGTACTACCTACCTTACAGGAACTGTTTGAGGACAGAATGAAATAAAGCATTCAAAGACCCAGCCAAAGGCCTGGCCAAAGGAAGTAAGCCTTCAGCAATAAGTGGCAGTCCCTTCCGAGCCAAGTCCCGGCAGGAAAGCCCGGCGTGCCGTACCGAGCTGAGCCAGCAACAGCTGCTGCTCCCGCAGGATCTCCTCAGGAGCCATGGCTTGCAGTTTTGCTATGTTCTCTTCATGGATGGTCTGGGCTTCCTGCTCAGCATCCTGGCTCCCGAGCCCCCTCCCTGTGACCAGATGGGGTCCCTGGAAGCCGCGGCTGCCCCACGGAAGCTGGCAGCCCTGCTCCCGAGGTGTGAGTGCCTCACAGGACGCAGTCCCTGGAAGAAGTGTATCATCAGTTTCATGGCCTTGCCCCAGCCGGGCCTTCTGGCCCTCGTCCCTAATCCCATTAGCCCTGGAGACAGATGGAGGCCCCAGGGATTTCCCGGGCACAGAGTTGAGACACCCCTTTATCCCCCCAAAACACAAACACAGGTTGGATTGGGTGGAGATCTCTCCACCCATTTTGCCCCTTTCTGAGGGATGTTAGGGAAATATCCTACTTTCTGACTCCTCTCTTGGATCTCCATGTAGCGCTATCTGCTTCCAGAAGCCTTCCCCCTGCTCTTCTGCTAATAATTTGCATCATTAAAGGAATCTTGGTCTACATCTTTATTTTACAGTCTCTGACAAATACCTGTCTCCTTCCTTCCTCCTAGGATCGAATAATGGCCAGCATTCTTCCTGCACCTAAGACCCAGATGTAGACCCAAGCCACCCATACTCAATACTGTAAGTGGGCATAAGGGACAGCTATCTCTTTAGATGGCTCAAATGCCATCTAAATATGCCTTCCTATCTGATGCAGGGAAGACATATACCCCAAGGTGACTCTAAAAGGCCATGCCCAAGTCTCTTCAACCCCAGTTTACCCTCTGGTGGATCCAGGGTAGACACAACTTCTCTAACTGGTGGGACTCTGGCTTCAGACGCTCTCTTTGCTGCAATTTCTTGGGCAAAGATGCTTCTCTTACCAGACGTTGCAGACTTCCCCTATGGGGCAAAAAGAAAACTCAGGTGACTGATGCTCACTACCCCATTTTCCTCTCAACCTCTTTACACTGGAAGGCCACTGGAACAAAGAGATAAAAGGGACTTGCTTAATCTCCAAGGGTCACAACCCTAGTCCTCAGAAAAAGCAGGGCTCTATAGGAGGATAGGTCTTGAAGTCTGACAAATTTGGGCTGGATTTCTGGTTCTTCTATCTATTAGATGTGTGATGTTGGACAAGTTACTTATCTTTTCAGGGTCTCAGTTTCCTCATCTGAAAAATGGGGATGATACCTACCTTACACGGTTGTTAAGTAATGTGTGTAAAGTGCCTAGCATGGTGCTGCCTTAACAAGAGAATTGCTTAACATTATTCATATTATCTGCCTGAGGAAGATGCACTATGAGGCTTACCTAATGTCTCCTAAGTACCATCTAAGCACCTTGCCTACCTGTCTCTCCTGTGAGCGATGGAACACAGGAGGGAAAGCAACACCACTGGGCACAGGCAGATTCACTGCCACTGAACTTGTATCTCGTTCCTGCAGCAACAAAGCACAAAGTAGTGAAGATATTGAGATTTCCCCAGAATGGACACTATCCCACTATCCCCAATTCTGTATGACTAGAATCTCTCTCTAGGGAGTCCTGAACCCACGTTGCTTCTTTGGGCACAGTGATTCTAAAGCAGCCCCAAACTGACTACAGGGGGTTAAAGTCCCACCTTTCTGGAATCAACCTCTACTCATACGGCTCACCACTCCCACCCACTATCCTTGCTGCCCCAGGATGCCTCATCCCACTCAACCAGGGTGAGACGCACAATAATCTTAGTCAAGACGGCAGTGATGTGCTGATCGTGCCTGTTCAGCCTCTCTTCAGGGTCTTCATGTTCAGGCAGGGGGCAGCCGGGGCTGGGTCTAGCTCTCTTTGGGGGAGCAGGAACCAAAGCTGGGGGCGAATCTGGGAGATCTGAGAAAGAAAAAAACCCAGATGTGAGGATACTCATTCCTTCCCAGGAAGAGACTGAGGGCAGGAGGAAACCAAAGAAAGAAAGGCAGCTGCTGTGGGGCCCTGGCTCAAACTGTGTCACCTTGGGCAAGATATTTAACCTCTGCGAACCTCAGTTTCTTCATACATAAAATGGGGCTGCAGCAACAGAGACTATGCAGCGTCTGAAATAATGATGGGGAAAAATCCAGCCACATTAGGAAGAAGGAGAGGACCCGGAGGCCATACCCTCTCTCCTTCTCAGCCTCACACCCACAGCCACTCACTGTCCAGTGTCACCACATCCCGACGATCCTGCAGCAGAGGCTGGTCCAGGTTAGTGTTGCCACCTCCCCTATTTCCTTTCTTCACCAGTTGTACTGCTGGAGCTGCACCAGTTGCAAGAAACTGACTCTGGAAGCGCAGCAGGTCCACCTCGGACTCCCCTGGCTTTGGTCTCGACAGCATCTTGACACTCCAGCTGCCTCTCTTGTACAATTCTTTCCAGCACTGCTTTGGTGTGGGGATTCCCTCTCATTCAACCCTACAAACAATAAAGCTGATGGGCCCTCTGCAATTGAACCCTGATTCTCTTTATTGTGCATCAGAAAAGACACTTTTGGGGTACCTGGGTGGCTCAGTCGTTAAGCATCTGCCTTCAGCTCAGGTCGTCATCCCAGGGTCCTGGGATCCAGCCCTGCATCGGGCTCGCTGCCCAGTGGGAAGCCTGCTTCTCTCTCTCCCACTCCCCCTGCTTGTGTTCCCTCTTTTGCTGTCTCTCTGTCAAATAAATAAACAAAATCTTTAAAAAAATTAAAGACACTTCTTAGGTTCCCATCAAGTCATTCTATTTCATTCATAACTTATTGCCATTCCCTCCCTATTTAGCCCTCCTTGATGTCATCAGCCTAATAATATTTACTGCCAACTGAAGATTGTTTACAACCTGTGGATGATAAAAAGTCTCAGGAACAACTGTAGGGAATCTAAGAAAAATAACATCAGGAGCCAGGTGTATAGGGAGTAATGATTCTGTATCAAACTGGAGAGAATATGCCTGGCCTAAAGGTGTTCAAATTATTAAAAACAAAAAACAAAAAAACCTTGGGCTTACAAAAGATCAACATATAAAAATCATCTGTATTTCTATACACCAGCAAAAAGAAATATCAGAAAATGAAATTAAGAAAACAATGTCACTTACAATCGCATCAAAAAGAGCAAAACACTTAGGATTAAATTTCACCAAAGAAGTACAAGACTTGTACATTGTCTGGCCCGACAACTGCCCCTAGGGCTCTGCGGCCGCGGACATTTCTGGACCATCCGATTCAACAGAGAAATTACCGAGTCTCAGCTTATGCAGCCTGCGGATGGAGGGCCGTGGCCGGGGTCTTCACACCGAAGAGGCCGCGGCCACTCCAATGTAGAGCAAAGACACTCGGGGAGGCTCCCACAAAGGAACTGGATACCCTGTACCAGAGCCCTCCGCCGGGGAACTCCGAAGTCCGTTACCTCCAGCGTAGCCCCTTACTTACCTTATGACGGCCTGGGCGCCGCCATCTTGCCCCGCAACGGCCGCGCTTCCGCCACCACCAGAGTCGAGCTTCCGCCCCGCAGCCCAGCCCCGCCTCTCCCTGGCCTGGCTCCACCCCCTCTGGGGTTTGCCGGCTTGGCGCCGGGACATACACCCCCTTTTAAAAAAAGTTTATTTATTTAAGTAATTTCGACGCCCTATGTGGGGCCCAGCTCCACCCCGAGATGGAGAGTCGGGTGCTCTTCCGACTGAGCCAGCCAGGTGCCCCTGCGCTCGGAACGCTTGAGCGCGAATATACTCTGCTAGCCCTGCCCTACCCCACCACGTAAGCTCTATGCTGACACCCAAGACACTCATCGTTCGGATGTACAGCAGGCATGATGAGGCCCTTCTGCACATACGACACCCGTGACAGAGGCAAAGTGTACTTCAGACGCCCCTCTGCATTCACCAGCCCGGATAATCACATCCTAAACCCAGCACCCAAGCTTGTGGGCAGCACCCAGACACCGGCACACACCAAGGTGACCTCCCCACTGCGTTTATGGGTGAGCAAGAAGGTAAGCATGTAAAAGGAAAGGCGAGGCTTAAGGAAGAAACTGTAGGAATGGCAGTGATGAGAAGAGAGAAGAAAATAGTCTCATTGCCCACAGGGTGATCCCCTTCGTGAGCATCCCACCTTTGTTCATGCAAGTGTCTCTTCTTGGAAATCCTCCCTTTCTTCTCTCCCACCTCCTACCCCCAAAGTCTTTCTCTTCTTTTAAGGCCTAGCTAGAGTGAACTCTAAAACCTCTGCCAACCAGGCCTATTCACTGAACTTTCCTTGGAATCCTCCATTGTGCCACTTGTGTGGCTTGTTGGGGATGCACTGCCAATTATCAGCTATCACTGGTCACCTTTTCACAAGCATATGTGCTGTTCTCTTGCAGAGACTGTGAGTTCCTTGGGGGCACCAGGCCTTCTTTTTGCATCAGTAGTGCTCAGCACCCAGCATATTGCCATAAATTTAGGACCTTAGCAAATCATTGCTTCACTGAAGGCCATCTTAGGGCAGCCAGTGTTAGTCCATTGGTTCTCAAACTTTAGCAGGCATCAGAATCACCTTAAGGGCTTGTTAAAACAGATTACTGGGCCTCACCCTCAAGAGTTTCTGATTCAGTAGGTCTTGGACAGGATCCAAGAATTTGCATTTCTAACAAGTTTCCAGGTATTCTATTGGATCCTTCTTTTGGTCTCAACTAGAGCCGTAAATTTCAGCTACTAGGCTTTAGCCATCCTTGGGGTCCAAAATAGTACTGGACCTGGTCAGAAGTTATGGGGAGTGAAGGAGGGGAACTGGAGCTAGAAATGCTGGAAGAATGATAGTAGAAAATCATTGTTTGTAACCACTAATGAAATAATCACTCCAGGCAATGATTGTCAATGGCTGATAAAACTATTAGGTGAAAGGTTGATGAGGATTTTATGTATGATGGATCAGGTTGCCAATTTATGAACATCACTAAAAGTGAGACCACTGGACATAATGTGCTCCTGATTTGATGAAACTGGAAGTTACAAAACACTTCCCAAGAAACCTTCATGCCAAAAAACTGAACTTGAATCTAGTGAAGGATCTAGATCTAACTACCAGTCTACAGGAAATATGGATGGTAGAGGAACATTTTAATAACACAAGGATACAATTAACCAAACCCAAATTGTGCAAAATTCTACAAATGACCCAGTTTCTTCTATAAATTTCATGTTCCAAAGAGGAGGGGGACCTTTTATAGATTTACAAATACAAAGATTACAATTAAATATATGGTCCTTGTTTGGATCTCGGTTCAAACAAGCCTAATGTAAGAAGATGTTTTTTTGAGACTGTTGGGGAAAACTAAACACAAACTGGATTTTATAATAAGGATTTTTAAAAAAAAATTATTGGTTATGGATGTGGGTTTTTTTTTTAAATAAACTTTATTTTGGAATAGTTTTAAGATTTTATTTATTTTTTAAGATTTAATTTATTTATTTGTGAGAGAGAGAGCACGAGGCAGGGGGAGGGGCAGAGGGAGGGAGAGGGAGAAGCCGACTCCTCTCTGAGCAGGGAGCCCAATGCAGGCTTGATCCAGGACCCTGTGATCATGACCTGAGCCTAAGGCAGACACTTAACTGACTGAACCACCCAGGTGCACCATTTTTTTTTTTGTAAAGTTCATTGAATTATAGAGTACAAAGCTCCTGAAAAGGGAGGGGACCTGAGAGAGTTGCCCTTGCCCCCCATTAAAAAAAAGAAAAAAAAAGTTTATTTATTTGAGTAATCTCTACATCCAAAGTGAGGCTTGAACCCACAAGAGGAGATCAAGAGTCACATACTCTTCCAACTGAACCAGCCAGGCACACCCCTCCCATTTTTTTAAAGTAAGCTCTATGCCTGATGTGGGGCTTGAACTCAGGACTCCGAGATCAAGAATCACATGCTCAACCTACCAAGCCAGCCAGATGCCCCAGTTTCCCTTGTTTTTAACATTTTACATTAACATGGTATATTTGTTAGAATTAATGAACCAGTGTGCCTGGATGAGAGCCTGCTTGAGATTCTCTCTCTTTTCCTCTGCCTGTCCCATCGCTTGTGCATGTGTGCGCGCACATGCGCGCCCCTAAGATTTGCTTTTAAAAACTTTAGGAAGAGGTGCCTGAGTGACTCAGTTGGTTAAGCATCTGCCTTCGGCTCAGGTTATGATCTAAGGGTCCTGGGATTGAGTCCCCACATCAGGCTCCCTGCTCAGCAGACTGCTTCTCCCTCTCACTCTCCCTCTGTGCTCTCCCTCTCTCTTTATCTCTCTCTCTCACACATACACATTAATAAATAAATAAAATTTAAAAAAATTAAATGTCTGGGAAAACACCAAAAAATGGGACAATGGAAGACAAATAGCTAAGATAATTATTGAAGCAGAGTGATGGATACACTGGGGATTCATTATACTTTTCTCCCTACTTGTGTATATGTTTGAAATGTTTCATAATAAAAATTTTTTAGGGGCAGCTGAGTCGATTAAGCATCCAACTCTTGATCTCGGCTCAGGTCTTGATCTCAGGGTCGTGAGTTCAAGCTCCGCATTGGGCTCCACACCCATTGTGGAGCCTACTTAAAAAAAAAACATTTTTTTTTTTAAATAGAACCAGAGGGGCACCTGGGTGGCTCAGTCGGTTAAACGGCTGCCTTCGGCTCGGGTCATGATCCCGGGGTCCTGGGATCGAGCCCCGCATTGGGCTTCTTGCTCAGCTCCGGAGAGCCTGCTTCTCCCTCTCCCTCTGCCTGCCTCTCTGCCTACTTGTGCTCTCTATCTCTCTGTCAAATAAATAAAATCTTTTAAGAATAAATAAATAAATAAATAAATAAAAAATAGAACCAGAAAAGCATCACTTGCCAGCTGTAAAAAGGGTCAAAAAGAGAAACACAGACAGCTAGATATACGGCATTCAAACAAATATACTCACACTCACACATATCTATTTCCTTCGTCAGCTGACAAGGGCCCTTTACTCACACATGGAACGCTTCCTTTCAGGGCCATCCCTAGGTGAAATTTTGAAGAGGACAGTTTTTTTCTTTCATATGCTTAGACCCATGTGCTGTTTCAGAAACCCCAAACTTATTGCTGTCTTCCAACCTCCTAAGTTTGCTTTTGGGGAAAAAGTCTGACCATTTGAAAGTCCTTCTGTGACTGTACATTGAAGCTTAATCTCTTCTAGGGATTTACCTTTCTGTTTTGTCTTCACTTGGGCAAGGCGTGGCATTGTTTCTGACTCCGGAATTTCAGGCAAGGGGTGTTTGGCAGGCACAGGGGCCATCCCCAGTGGCCCCTGGCATCACACCTGCAGGCAGTTTTCCTCCAAGCCCAGTTTTCCTCCCTGCTTTCTCTAAGGTGATGGGGAGCACAGTCTGCGGCCTGCCCATTCTGGAAGTGGCATTTCCCAACTCACCTCTTGAACCAGTAGTTCAGAAAGAATGGATCCTTGCTCACAGGGCAGCAAGACTACCTTGATCCCATGGCTCACCTTGGTTCTTTCTTGGTCCATACAGCCTCTTCCTTGAATGGGGAGGATGGGAGGAGAAGGTCCTAACTCTGACAAAGCTGAAGCAGCTGTTTCCTGAGACTGATGGAAGTTGTCATCAAGGGATTCTGCTACTATGGGCAGATGGTTTTTTGTTTGTTTGTTTTGGAGAGAGGGGGAGGGGCAGAGGGCGAGGGAGAGAGAATCTCAAGCAGGCTCCATGCCCAGCACGAGCCTGCTGTGGGCCTTGGGGCTGGATTTCACAACCCTGAGATCATGACCTGAGCTGGAAATCAAGAGTCAGACGCTTAATTGTGCCACCCAGCTGCCCCAGGCAGATGGTTTTTATTTCCAGGTTTGTCTGTGTCTTCTCTCTATCCCTGGCCTCCTTGGGCAGTCCTGGATCATAAAAGGCAGAGTGGGCAGATACTTACTTCACCCAAATAGGGAGATGCCAGGGCCCAACCTAGCTCCATCCATAATAAGGGGCTGCTGCTAGCCCTTCCTCTCCCTTGTGGTCCCTTCTTACTCCCCTGGAGTAGATCATAGCTAGCTCTGGTTCTGTTCTGAGGACAGGAACTCCTGGGACAGCTGCTCCTGCATTATGTCAAATACATTTCCTGTTGATTTGATTAGTTCCCGTCAAAGCAATGCGTTTATGAAAGAAAGGGAGATTTTGCAGGCATGTATTTGCACAGGCGGCCAACCTCCTTCAAGTCACACACACACACACACACACACACACACTTTCTCCCCATCCACCCACAAAGTGTCAGTCACATTTAGAGTTTGCACAAATGCACACCCTCCCTCACACATCACAATGCACACCCTCTCACCCACCTACACACTTCTTCCACAGAATCACACCTGCTCACATACTCTTAAAGCACGTTCCTATACCATGCTGAGAAAGAGAGAGAGAGAGAGAGATAGGTAAAAATTTGTTGCTAGGGCTCAGGAAGGTAAGCACTCTATGTGGGAGCTAGAAAGTCAGAAGACCAGGACCCAGAAATACTTAGAAATACTAAGAATTGAGAAGGATTCAAAAGCAGGGGTAGAGAAAGCAGAGACTCAGAGCTCCTTGGCCCCACCAGGAAAGCGTGCTGCCCCAGGGAAACAGTGATGTGCCTGAGGCCTGCAGCTAAGATAAGAATTTGTCTAGGCTGTGAGTGCAGAAGGCGGTGGCATCCCCAACATGTCCAAGACGCCCATTTGGACTGGTAGCTAAGGGGCGTCCTCAGTCTGGGATTCCCTGTCAGAGTTCAGGAAACAATGGAGGAAATGAGGGGAGAAAAGGAAGTGGGAAGTTGGGTTTGGGCTCTGGGTTCAACATCCTTTAGGAGAGAGTCTTTCCAATGTCAACCAGAGTCAATAGGAGGAGGCTTTCTTTCACTGGAAACTTGAAGTCCCCTGGAGAGAGGAGAGATGTGGGAGAGGGCCTTGAGGAGTGACAAGTGCCCGAGGGCAGAGTGTAGCGCCCCCTGGCCCCAGTAGCTCGGCCCCGGCGACCCTGGCTTCAGCCCCAGACTGCGGTCGGCCTGCCCTGATCCGACTCAGCCCAAATGCAGAAGCTGTGGCCTCTGGAAAGGAACAAGTATTTTCCTTTAAGAAAGGATCCTGGAGCCCACCCACAGCACCCAAGAAAACTGGCAGAGCACCCAGCTACACACAGACTTCAGGCCCCTGCCATCCAAGTCTGACAGCCCTTCTGGGGTGTCTCCCCGTGTTGCCACCTGAGGGCGCCCGGAGCTGGGTCTGAGGCTGCTGCCGGCACTGCTGTTGTTGTCATCATTAGGATACTTAATAAGCAAGCACTGATGGGGCCAAGTGGAGGAAGAGGCAGGCCGCTGCTGCTGGGGAGAATCCCTGGAAAGATCCAGTGGGGCTGTGGGGACAGGGGACTGAGTGGCTCGTTCCTCCTCCCTACCCAGGACTTCTGGGAAGGGCCCTCTGGAGTCGGCTCTGGGGGACAGGTAGAGAGGCAAGGGCGAGGGGAGGGGAAACACTTGGTAGGCTGCATTTGGAACCGGCTCAGCATCTGCCTGACAGGATGGCTTCAGGCACAGCCACCCCCGTGATGACTGGTTGTGGGGCAGACCAAGCTCTGAGGCAATCATTCATTAATTTAACAGGCATCTGTCTGCTTATTTATGGAATGCCTACTGTGTGCAAGGTGGTCTACTAATAATAGCTAAGGTTTTATTGGATACTGTGAGGACACAGCCAACTTTCACACCATGTCTTAGAGGTTGCGGGGGCGTGTAGATGCAGAGGAAGCAACAGGAAGAATGACAACCCCCAAAGATACGGGCCATGGGGCTTTGGCCTGTGTAGTGTAGCAGTGGGGATGTCAGATATAAAACCTGAGGATTACCAAAAAGATCTTGGAAAACTCGAGACCCAAGGCCCAAGATCCTGGAGATAAAGGGGTGGGAAATGGAGCACGAATATCGGAAATTTGGGTGAAAGGCTCAAGAAAGAGGCAGGAAGGGGTGTTAGTAGGTCCTGAGGGGGGAGCCTTGAGTCACGATTTCGGGGGCCCCGACGATTGGGAATTTAGGGGACTGAGATGCTTTATGGCCTGAGATGGGGGACGGGACTCTGGCATCAGAGCCTGGACAAAAGTTGGGGTGCGATAGAGGCTCTAGCGAGGTTTGACAGCAGGAGCTGGAGTGCTGGGTCTGAAAGGATGCTGGAAAGTGTTTAGGGAAAGGAGGGGCGTGGCTGAGTGCGCCACCCGGGCACCCGGCCGATCCTCTGGTCGGCCCTGGGGAAGCTGGCCCCGGGTGCCGCGGCGGTTGGGGAGGCCGGAGGGCGGGGGCCGGCCGGACAGGCGGCGGCCGGGTAGGCGCTCCGAGCGAGCCGCCCGAGGCTCCGCGGGGGGGCGGTACGAGCTCGGGCTTGAGGGCCGGCGGGCTGGGGAGGAGGCGGCGGCTCGCAGAACATGAATCAGCGGCGGCGGCGACGGCGGCGACGGCTGTGGAAGGAGCGCGG